ATAAATTCAATCATATTTGTATTTTTTAAATTATTAATTTACTATTTTATTTATTTTATAAAAGTTTTTTTAATACTAACTAGTCAAGTAGTAAATTTTGTATATTTTAAATAAATTCGAATTAGTTTGAATCTCATCAAAATATTTTGTAACAAATTTCGTAATATTTCATAATATATTTCATAATATTTCATAATATATTTCGTAATATTTTGTAATTAAAATTTTGAAATATTTCACATTGATCGTAATTATTGTGAAATTTTTTAGGACGTAATAACTTTCGTAAAATTATATTTATATATTTTGCTGATGTAATAGCTATTCATTTCTTACATTAGTCTAACTATCAAAAGTCAAGATAATACCAATTTTATCTTTATGAATTATATCTTGTATTGCTTTATTCACTTCAGAAATAGCTGCTTCTAAAATCTTTTCACTAAGGGACCAATGATCCAGAATCTTAAGGTGAGGATTTAAAAATTTAAATAGTTTTTTCGTTTCTGGCTTATTTATCCAGTGAAAAGTCTATTCACATAATATAGTCAATTTTAATATAAGAATTTTGAATTTTTTATAATCTTGTTGAGACAATTGCTTAACAGTATAGTCGTCAAGTGGCCCATAAGTCAAAGTTCGTATAATAGACTTTCAGAGTGTGTTTGTAGCATCATAAGATGAACTGGGAGTAGCTAAAAAAAAATTCAGTATATATATTTTAAACAAAAAAATCTATATATAATTCTTACTTGATTGTTTGTTCTGATCATTAGATAAATTAAAAACAAAATGCTTATATTTTTTGAGATGCTGAATTATATGACCTGTTTTATTAGAAAAACAACTTTTTTGCTCTTCATCTATATCTAATTTTTAACACATGCTTTACAATAGAATTTATAATTCCACTTATTAAGTTTTTTTTTTTTTAGTTTTAATAATATACTGATCCAATAATATAGGAATTGGCATTTTTATTTTATAAATCTAGGTATTTTTAGCTGTTTTATATTAAAATAATTTAATTATTAATTCTACAATATATGTGATATTAAACCAGTGAACATGCATTATTCTCAATATTAGACTTATATCTTCAGAAGGTATGTTTATTTTGTCTAGATAAATTTAGACTTACTACTTTATTATTACTTTATTTAAATATTTTTTTTTTATTTAAGGATGAATACTATAAATAATATAGGAAGTAAAATAATAACCTTAGTTAATAATTCTTATATATTTTATCATTTGATTATTTTATT